ATATATATATATATATATATATATATATATATATATATATATATATATATATATATATATATATATATATATATATACCGGGTGTCCCAAAAAAAAGTTCACGCGTTTGATTTAGTACAGCGAAAAAACAATAAGTGTTACATCGCTGAAATAAACGTAGCTGTATTCATAAAAGTCTAACTTAAATTTTGAGCTATAGCATGTTTATTTACGTGCAATATTGACTGGGATATCGCCAAATAAAATTTGGAACGAAGTTTTGAAAATCTGAGAAATTGGCTAAAAATGGCCTATTAAACTCTTTTAATAAATTTTAGAATTTCGTCAGACATATTCGCTTGTATGAATTTAATTTGAATTGAAACGTGTAACGAATGGTTTTCCTTATTTATTTATTTGTTTTATTATCATTTGAAAAGCAACAAAATTTCGAAAAAGATGGCTCTTTTAATTAAGAATTGCTTCGCAGTATTCCATGTCCCATAGCTATAGGGAATTAAATTAGATCAACAACCGAACAATTTGAGACAGCTTCGTGAAGCGATTATTGCTGATTGCCATAACTTTGACCAGCAAATAAATCCAACGTTCGTTCGATAGTATGGTCACACGTGCAAGAATATAGTTATTTAATTTTACAGGATAAACGCGTTATTTACTGCCGTTGTGTTCTTCATATATCGTTAATTCCTTTACTCGTATTTAATAGGCTATTTTCAGCTAATTTTGGAACCTTTTGAAATTGCATATTCAAATTGATTTACCAATATCTTGGGTAATACTAAACAAAAATGCATGTGTTATACATCAAAATTTAAGTTAGGCCTTCCTGGATAGGATAACATTTATTTGAGGAACGTAACACTTATAGTTTTTTCGCTGTACTAAATCAAACGCGTGAACTTTTTTTTGCGCCACCCGGTATATATATATGTGTATATATATATATATATATATATGTGTATATATATATATATATATATATATATATATATATATATATATATATATATATATATATATATATATATATATATAAATATAAATGTTGTGGTTTCCCACGTTTACGATTCCACCCGTGTAACGTTATGTAGTGGTTTTTGAGTTATTTGAGTGGTTTTTGAGTTAAAACAAGAACTTCCTCAGGCATAAAAAGGTATAATGACTATAACCCAGACGTTTCGCAGGTTAAGGCTTCTTCAGTGGGTGAAAAATTTACAACAATATTAAGGCGTCTTTTATACATGTCGTCCTAATGTATAAAAGACGCCTTAATATTGTTGTCGACATGTATCGAAGACTCCTTAATATTGTTGTGAATTTTTCACCCACTGAAGAAGCCTTAATCGGCGAAACGTCTGGGTTATAGTCATTATACCTTTTTATGCCTGAGGAAGTTCACCATTCACATTCGGAAACCAGGCATGGCAACCATAACGCTTTCATATATATATATATATATATATATATATATATATATATATATATATATATATATATATATATATATATATATATATACCGGGTGTCCCAAAAAAAAGTACTCCGGTTTGACTTGTAATAACTTCTAAACAAGTGAAGCTATCAAACAGAAATAGGGTGGCGCAAAAAAGTTCACGCGTTTGATTTAGTACAGCGAAAAAACTATAAGTGTTACGTTCCTCAAATAAATGTTATCCTATCCAGGAAGGCCTAACTTAAATTTTGATGTATAACACATGCATTTTTGTTTAGTATTACCCAAGATATTGGTAAATCAATTTGAATATGCATTTTCAAAAGGTTCCAAAATTAGCTGAAAATAGCCTATTAAATACGAGTAAAGGAATTAACGATATATGAAGAACACAACGGCAGTAAATAACGCGTTTATCATGGAAAATTAAATAGCTATATTCTTCCACGTGTGACCATACTATCGAACGAACGTTGGATTTATTTGCTGGTCAAAGTTATGACAATCTGTCTCAAATTGTTCGGTTGTTGATTTAATTTAATTCCCTATGGCTATGGGACATGGAATACTGCGAAGCAATTCTTAATTAAAAGAGCCATCTATTTCGAAATTTTGTTGCTTTTCAAATGATAATAAAACAAAAAAAATAAATAAGGAAAATCATTCGTTACACGTTTCAATTCAAATTAAATTCATACAAGCGAATATGTCTGACGAAATTCTAAAATTTATCAAAACAGTTTAATAGGCCATTTTTAGCCAATTTGTCAGATATTCAAAACTTCGTTCCAAATTTATTTGGCGATATCCCGGTCAATATTGCACGTAAATAAACATGTTATAGCTCAAAATTTAAGTCAGACTTTTATGAATACAGCTACGTTTATTTCAGCGATGTAACACTTATAGTTTTTTCGCTGTACTAAATCAAACGCGTGAACTTTTTTTTGCGCCACCCGGTATATATTATCTTACTCTCTTTATCGTAAAAACCTCATTTGACCCTCCATGTTATTAGGTGAACTGGGAATTAGTTTTCCTTTGTTTGTTGCTGGACCCGCCAAATATATATGTACTGATCAGAACTCCAAAATAAGGACTTAATGATGTGATTTGATTCATGTCTAACTCCAATGAATGACCTGATCGATCCAGTGCGAAAATCTGATCCAAATGACATTTTAAACTGCTCTTCAATAGTTTGAGGATGATATATTAGACTAGATCGAGACGACAGCAGTCAAAACGATAATAAATAATTGGATAAAATCGAAATTTTGACTTACCAGTTTCCTTATTTTATCTAAAACTTTATCAACAAGCTCGCGACCGATGGTATAATGTCCTCTGGCGTAGTTATTTGCCGCATCTTCTTTTCCGCTGATCAACATCTCAGGACTAAATAATGATCGATATGTCCCTGTTCGAACTTCGTCTGGAAATATCAGTAATGAAAAGTAATGTATAATAAATACAAACTAGTTGGTGTGGCTTAACGATCAAAGATATGATACTGTATCGTGAATACATTCTGCCAAGAAAGCTTAAATACAGAATCCTTAAAAAAATCCTGAAGCCGTTGCGTGTTGCACGATGTGAAAATAAAATATGTAATGAGGCGAATGGTGAGCCAGGGAGTTTTACTGAAAGTTAATTAAGATGAAGAGCTGGAGGAAGAGAGATGAAGGAGAGCTCGTCAGGGACATTATTGAATCAGAAAAAAGATGTTGGGTCGCGTGGTACACATTGCAGAGAAGGCGTTGCAATCAAGTCTGAGATGGCATGGATTGATATTAAGAAATGATGAAGGGATCAATTGAAATCGATCAGAGAGTTAGAGATGAAGGGATAGACCGAATACTTTAATGGGCTGTATAAATGAAGAATTAAACATTAAGGAACGTTCTGATCGTGTTCACAAGAAAGGGCAGCTACTAAAGAGGAACTGGTATAGAAGAAGACGTACCAATTACAGTCGGTTCCAAGTCCACATACAGCGCGCGTGGTACATGTTTCCCAGAATCTGTTTCACTGAAGAATGTTGAGAATGTGTCCGCTCCTTTCTTTGTTTCAGAATTGTCCACCACCTTGCCATCTGGTCCTATACCATGCTCCAAGCAATATAGTTCCCAACATGCATTGCCAATCTGGGCTCCTGCTTGACCCACATTTATCGATATACACTCACGCTAAAATAAACCGTTATTGGATGAGGTGATATCCGAAATTATCAAAGTCAAGGTATGATAACACACCGATCACCGACACCTTCATAATTCGGGATATCCGAATACAAAACCTCACCCAGTAAAAATTTTGTTACACATTGCATTTTCATTAACTCTTTCGACAAACAGTGATTAATATTTGTCACACAAAATGTTTGGTTCTCAAGAAAAGCAGTGAAAATGATTTGAAATATCAATAATAGCATAAAAATATTTAAAAATGTGAAAAAGGTCTGCTTTATGCATACAAAATTCACAAAAGCATTGTTCGTTCATGTTGGTTTTTCTTGGTTTTTTATATTAGTGTATTTAAAACTGCCGCTGGCTATAAAATTCTGATATATATACATGCATATGCTACATATAATTGTGTTATGCATGTAGGTTGCGTGACTTCCATATTTAGCTGTAAGCTATTGACCAATAAGAAGACATGTGGTGACTACCATGTATAATAAAATATTATCTTATTTATTGTTCAATATATATTTAATGATTGATTAAAAGTCATTGCTTCGTTATTATGGTGCAGTCAGTAGAAAATTATTGATTACCAACGAAGGAAACTTGAAGTTGAAGGGAATTTCCTGTAAATCGTGTAAACATTACACCCTTTAGAATTTAGATCCGAATGTTTTGAACACCATGTGTTGAATAAGAGGCTGAACAATATCAGTTCAAGGAGTTGGAATATTTCACAACAATCAACAATGACATAATCACCTTTCATGATGATAGCAACAATGTTATACCAAATAGTGAATATCGAGCAGATAAATTGCGTTTCAGTGAACTTGCTCAAAAATAGTTGATAACTTCCAGACGATGGCGCTCCAAACGTAGAAGTTCTTTTTTATATTTTCAGATATATCAGTTCGATCCTAAACCTTCACGAATATTCAAAATTTAACCAAATGCAAATATGCAATGGATGGCAATGCAATGATTTTGAAAACTGCATGAGTTAAACTCATCAGAAGACCTCGCCTTAGAGTCGATTACCGTTATCACATCAAAGAAGGACATTTTCTGTATTTTTTTCAGTCTAGCTTAGTATTTCCCGTAGATCATTTTCCGTATTCTCACACTATAGCCGTGTGAAATAAAAGCATCTGCAGAGCGCTTCTTATATGAGCGCTCTGAAAAGCAAAGTGATAAAAATGGCGCTATTAAACTTTAAATTATTCTTTGTCTGTCATAGCGTGATATATTAAATTTATTGCACTGACGTTTCACTGTACGTTGTGAATAAAATGTATTGCCGGTACACTACACAAGACACTTGTTCGTTTTGTAGGATTCGTTATTATTTCTTAAAGATAACAAGACTTAATATATTTTAAATCTGAATTAAGACAGTTCCAAATATCATCTTCTCTGCTAATTATTCCTTTCTGTTAATACTTTGAATTTTTGAAACATTGTAAACTGCATGCTATATAGGCTTTGTACTAGGGTATAGTAATGTTTATTTCCATGCCACTTACCATTTTCAAATGTCTTGCTCAAAGAAAAGCGTTCTGATATATTAAGTTGAACTTCAAGTGACGCGTACAACTTTCAGAATGAATATGGTCGCGTCTTTTTGTCCTTCTTAATCTTATAAAGTGGTTAATTTTTTAGTACCAAAAGAGGCAGGCGTGAGCAGAGCAACCAATCAGAAACCACGCATCTGTTGCATTTTTCCCTGGCAGCTGGCCTCTTATGGAAACTGGTTAACCTCACCGCACCAAATATATGCAAGGTTTTGACTTTTTGAATATTTATTATGTCTTTTGTGTTAACGCTTCAACAATTCACTTTAGTCGAGTTTATATATGAGCGAAGGCGTATTTTATGATTATGTTTTCGTTTCTGATTGTATATTTGCATATTTCTACGGTATCATGTGATTGTCTCGCGCGCTATATTTTGAGTGGGCAGCTCTTTATATGGCATGATACAGGCCCTGTTAGGGTTGGTATATGCGACATGTTCGTTGAAAACATTGTTATGTCGCCTTCAAAATTTCGTAAGGTAATGTCGCCTGTTGGAATTTCCCCTAACAGAGTCTCATGATAGATATATGAATGTTTAATTTTGTTCAATATATCAAATGTTATTGTCATGGGCAGTACATTATACTGAACTTTGTTCAGTGCAGTAAGATACCTGAATCTGAATACTTGACATGTTTAAATATATATTATGTATATGCCTATATATGGCTATGTATATGTGTAAGGATTGTTGAGCAATTAAAAAAACTACAGCAATTTGTCTGTGAATATTTTAACAGCGTGATATCGACCTTGATATTTGCTTATGGGGAACATGTAGCCTGTAGGTGGATTACAAGACAACAGGAATTGAAAGACATTAAAGTGAGAATACTGGCGGCCATATCTATTGATGCCAAATTCAATGTGAAAGATAATGAGATTCTTCAGATGTTATTTGAAGTACGTTACCAACCAACATGGACGATGTCAAAGGGTCACAAGAAAACTGATAATGACCCGAATTAGAATCATTATCTCGCTTTATCATTTTTTGCAACTTTTGGTTTTTCTGTAATTTCTCACATGCACACGGCCGTTCAAAAATGGAAACTGGGAGCCAGCAATAGACCTTATGCATAATGACGTCACAAGGCTTGATGCCCGCGAGGAATGCTGGTCTTAGTAGTCATCGCCCGGGAAAATTTCGATAGTGGCCATTTGGAATTGTTTAATTTTCCCGGGCGATGACTACTAAGACCAGCATTCCTCGCGGGCATCAAGCCTTGTGGCGTCATTATGCATAAGGTCTATTGCAGCCAGAGTACAGTGCTATATAAGTCTTGTCTTACGACCAAAATTAAGTGAATGACACATATAGAAAGCTAGATTCAGCGCCCAAGAGCGAGATACGAACGAGTTAAATTTCCGCTCAAAGGCCATGACCTCGGTCATATCAGTTCTCGAAAAGCTAGTGTCATCCGCTTTTCCCGCGTGTTCATACTGCACGATACGTAGTCCTTCGCGTTGTTTAGGAACGGTACATGTATAATCTTCCACTGACCCCATTGATTACACGGTGGACGAGATCAGGTGGGATGAATTAGGATAACTTATTTTGCAGACATTCCAAAGTCATAAAATGTATTACTGTGCGTTTACAGCATGAAAACAGAACATGGTCGTATAATCGTATTCGTCTATTCGAGATCGTATGACCCGCTCATCATTTCTGTCAATGTGATTCTGCATGCAGCTAAAAAATTGTATATAGTGCAGGCAGCTAAGGCAGGCATATTAATCATGCAGGCAGTTTAGCTTATACAGCCTCTTTTCCATAGAGGTTTTTACCATAAGTGGAAAAGAGCCTTTCTGCACAAACCACGATCCAAGACTTATCCACGCAATACCAATAGACAATCTCACTATTCTGATGCACAGAAGGAATCCGAATGATTGCATGTTACCCACGAAATAGTTTGTTTTACGCCTACTATAATGTTTTTTAATTCATTTACTTTACATCAACTTTTTTCGCTCAGCGTACTGAGTGCATTTGTTCTCATGGAATTCACGATTGTGTAATCGTGCAAATTTGAGCCCCCTCGGCCCCTCCCGAATTCGTTGTTGTTAATACAGAGTTTAAAGTGCCTATGACATGAAATTTCATCCCAAATGTTTATGGTTGCATTGTAAAGATCATTTAAAATGACTTAATAATTTATTTTATAGAATTTTCGTAACTTGCTTCCTTTTCAAGATATTCAACTTTGTTTCGTATGCAAATATCACCGGTGTGACATCACATCGCATAATGAGTTTTCTGAAAAGTATAGTTTTCTTGACGAATACGTATCTAAAAAACTTAAAAATTGCCCTTGTACATGTATTTATTTCATAACTGGTAATTAACCCTCTGTATTTGTTTTTAAAAATATTTTATCAAGGTAAAATATTGCGTTTTCAAAATGTCATTATGCGATGTGATGTCACACCGGTGATATTTGCATATGAAACAAAGTTAAATATCTTGCAAAGGAAGCAAGTTACGAAAATTCTATAAAAGAAATTATTAAGTCATTTTAAGGGATCTTTACAATGCAATCATAAACATTTGGGGTGAAATTTCGTGTCATAGGCAAACGCCATGCCAGGCAAAGAAACGTCAAACGTCAAACGCCATGCCAGGCAAAGAAAAAATTTACGGTATCAGGCAATAAAATGAACTTGCTGTTTTAAAACTGAAACACATAATTATTCTTTCGGCGCAAGAAAGAAAATATGAAACGAAAACGTTCAACGAAAATTTTGCCAAGAAAGTTCGAACCTTCCGTTCCCGGAAACCAATCCGGAAACGTGAAGCTTAAACTCCCTAATAATCCATGCACTCATGCAGTGCGGCACGCGTCGTCCCTTGACCTTTGATCACTAGTCTCCAATCTCCTGATTACCGCGGCTTTTCATGTAATGTTGCTCAATGGCGGGCAAAATGGTTGGAAATCTGGCTGGTCGTTTGGCTCTTGTTACAGGCAAGTTTTAACTTATACCTTGAATATGAATAATACTACATAACCTAATTTCTCATTATGCAATGTTTTTATCCATTCGGTCGTAGTATGTAGGGATATAATTTATATAATTTGATTTAATGGCTAGCATCGTGTAAAATTCTGTGTGTGACGAGGTGTGTAAATGTCGTATCTGGACTTTGTGCCAGGCAGTGTTTGTGCCAGCAGGGGAGACAACGTGGGGAATTACCAATGTATTTGAAATGTTCTTTATAAGCTGTTTTACTTCAACATTTGATTCAATATAAAATATCAAGATACGTGGCAACTTTGTCGTATATAAAACATTGTCACAGACTGTATTTTAGAACACTTGAGAGAAATATATTGATGTTTGTTTAAATATCCTGTCTTGGTTTGTACAGTATTTATTATGCAACTTTGAAAGGATTACAGTATATTTTTATAATTGCAAAATTGTATAGATTAATCAAACGTCTGTTTAATTGTTATGCTTGTTTTGGTTGTGGGTTTTTTTGTCAATTGTCATCTTGTAAATAATTTATGCAAAATGATTGAATACCGATTTAGCCATTTTAACAATGCGCCCAAATGCATTCTAATTTATTATACATACATACATACATACATACATACATTACACACTCTGTCTAATTTAAGATGATTTTACTCTTCAAGTGGAGAGTCTTACATTTAATGGTTCATTATATACTATGCAATATTACAGTGTCCCTGACTGGAAAATTTGGAAATTGCACAGCCGAGATTTCGAAAATTTAATAGTAATTATATAGAAAGCATCAAAATTTCACGCCTGATATGATGATATCTTGGTTGTGCGGTACAAAATTTCCACACTGGACAGTGTCTTTAATTAATATTTTGAAGGTGTTTATTTCAAAAATATGTAATGTAGAACATGTATGCACAAGTTTTCCTACGAGTAATATGTACATTCCATTTAGCCTGTGGTATAATTATCTCCATTCGGGTATGTTTACATGATCCAGGTTTGCCAGAATGGGATGGGAAGCGGGATGGTTTTGATGTAATGAAATAATTCACTAAGGCTTTGCTTCAGCAAAATTTCAAACACCAGTTAAAGGAACTGAAATGTTGGCAAGAAGATCTTGTATTTCAAGAAGATTATTATGCTGCTTGAACAATGTACGACTGTGGCAAGTTTGCATTGTATTTTGGTAGTGAAGTTCTTATATTTTCTATATTTAATTGCTATACGTTCATCGAATCTTGTGTGTGCAATTTTGAAACTTTCCAGTCAGGGACAAGGGTGTTGGCTCTCAGTGGGTTAACGCCTTATGATTTGAACTAATGTGAACATTTTTGGCATGCATTGAAATCAGCTTGTGTTTTAATTTACATCAGTTTTCTTGCTCATATTACTTTGACCTTTGAAAAGTGAAGTCAAGATAGCAGAGATTGAAGAGCTATTGCAAGTTAGTTCCAGTTCCTTTCTGCCTGGTTTACACAAAGCATGCAAGGAGTTTGCTGAAATTTCGTATGGACATCGATTGGTTTTATGAACTGATAACTTGTTTAGCGATACAGTCTGTTAGAAAAAACTAGCAGGGGAAAATTAATGCCATTAAAACTTCTTTACAACCTTCATAGCTATTGAACATCAATTTCTGCCATCCTGGCTTAACTTTTCTCATAGCCGGCTGACTGAAGTTCTTGATGAACATCACGAACTTGCCAAAGAAAAGATTGTTTATCTCTTAATTTCTCTGTCAGTCTGTAAATAAACAATCTGTCAACTATATCAGCATAGTCATCAGCCGTTTGAATATTGCAACAAAACCAAGATGAGCTGGCTTGTAACCATTGCCAGGATATATCACACTCTTGAGACATTTTGACATATTCTTCATTCTCTATATATGCAAGCTGTATTCATTCTATATAATACAAGTTGTATAATTATGCAAGCTTCATTCTTTATAGCAGCAAGCCTGGTCATATGTATTTTACAGGTGCGTGGGATATCGCACGCCATATTAAGGTCAGGCGCGCGATTGCCAAACGGTCAAGAACTACTGTACACTTATTAAGAGACTAGATTCATTGATTAACGCTGACAAAACGATTTTAACATTGAAATTTAAACGAAAGTAGTAGTACTAGTTACTATATATAATGTATCTGGCAATATGTATATAATATCTACTGTACATAGGCTAATGTATTTACAATTTAAACGTCAATGTCAATATCACTAGTGGTCTTGTTTTCAGACGAGCTTGACCTATCCTCATTGTCAACGTCTATTGTGTCTCTCGATTATTGGTTGTTTGTGTTTTACATGCAAGAAGAATTGGGCAAAATAAAGTCACTTAGAGGCAAACATTGAGGTGCGCGATTTCATACTCGAAAAGCAAATGAGGCGCGTGGCAAAATGCGCACCTTGATGAGCATATATGAGTCAAGGCGCGCGCGCAATCGCTCGCCTCAAACGGCGAGGTCTGTAAATAAATAAGCAGGTTGTGCATTGCTGCTGAATAGATTATTTAGAAATTTCATGCATCTTTAAATCATGTTTTTTCTCTGTGTGTGACTGTTTTCAATTAATTAATAGTAACTATATAACTTTTATTGTCCGTTTTCCATCGCATAAATGATTAATCGTTTAATAAGAAGTTTAGTCAATTAGTGCCAAATAGTAGGACAAAGCACCTTTAGACTATGCAAGATGGAACAGTCTGCCTAATTTCATAAAGGAGACAAAGTCACTAGTATATATATATATATATTTCTGATTATGCTTTTATTAAAGAGAACTGCTAAAAGGCGGGCAATAAAGGTTGATATATTTTTGTTAGAGACTGTCTTGATTATAGTGTAAATAATATGGTATAAAGAATAAAAGGACAGATATATAGTTACATAAGAAGTTTATAATGACGGTACCTGGTACTTACTACCAGATCAGGGACATGTTACCAATCTGTGCCTGGTACCAAAGGTATTAATCTTCTCGATTTTATTGTGTAAGGGTTACATATTTTTTACAGAAATTAATTAAATATTAGCAGGGCGCAGCCCAAAGCTCCATGACTGCATATAAAGCGTCACGATTTTAGTTTGGCACGATTTAAAGCTTTGCTTGTACGTGCCTTTAAGTAGAACAAATGAAAAATGTGTCATATAACCTAAACAAACCACGATCGCAGTGTGTAAAGAGTGAGTTTGGAAAATTCAACTGAAATGAAGATTGAAGGCATCAACAATAGCATTTTTACTCTAACACAAAGGCGACTATAAATTGTATTCCCTTGAGTGTTCTAACACGCCATGGTGGTTCAAACTGCTAAAAACTACTTTGAACAACTACGCCGTTTGAACAATCAAACTTTACGTAATATTTAAAGCACGCGTAGGAGTGTTTTATCACATATAAAATACGACGCGTTGCGGAGTGTTTTATATGTGATAAAACACGACTACAAGTGCTTTAAATAGCTTCAAAAACGACTCATCTTATACGAGTTCATTGGCGAAGTAATTTTTAAAATAAACTTTGTCTAAACCGAGAAAATCAAAGCTAAAGTTTATGTAAATTAACGTGATTTTTTATCACATATAAAACCACGACACGCTTATGATTTTTCTTTGTGTTTTGCTCCTGAATTATTAATGAGTTTTTGAAATCATTTTCACGACTCATAACCTGCACGCCAACAGTTAAAACGTTCATTGTCGTTTGGAGTGTTTTATTTGATTGCTACCTAACGGATGGTTTGAAAAAAGATAAGTACTGTTAAGAGGCAAATAAAGTTTAGTAATGTATGTACTGAAGACAGTAATTTGTTTTCTGCGGTTTTCGGTTCAGGCCAATGCCACAGTGGCGAATACTACGGGAGACTAGTATTTTCGTAAAATACTCAATTTGTGGCATGTTTTTTTGCAAACCAAAGCCTGAACATTTTAATTAGGCAAAAAATATATGGGTTTCCTATTTCTTCTTGTAAAAACTTAGGTAGGGTAGGTCCTGCCTCGTACCCAGGCGCTATGTGTTGTTCTATGTGGCTTGCGCGGCCTTTGCGTGGGCCGCGTGGATTAATTTGATCGATTTCCGAATTTTCCGTTTTTAGTGTGAAGTTTCTTCGAAACTTCACAGTATTGTGATGACTGGGGGGGGGGGGAATTCAAACGAATCAGTCAGTCATTCATTCAGTCATTCATTCAGTCAGTCATACAGTAAACTTTCCGGGGGGTGTAGACGATTTATGTTCGTAGTGATTTATTGTACTTAGTCAGTGTTTTGAAGGTTATTTAGGCAATTTCAGTTGTCGTCTTTAAATATCCTTTTGGACTTTTGCCAAGTTCACAAAAATTTCGACGAATCGTTGTCGTTATGCAAATTTTATAACATTCGCTTCTCGTCGGTTTTTCGTGTTGTGTAAACTGAAGGAGCGAGGCAGTGTTGTTTTCAAATATATAAATATTTTAGACATGAGTATTTAATACTATTACAGCTAGTAAATCTTTGAGAATCTGCGCAATATATAAATCGATGTTATGCATTATGGGCATTCAATCGATTACCGATATTATTTTATAGACATTTCATTTTCAGAATTCAGACGTATTAAATATTGAGAAAATCTTTGAGATTCTAGGCATTCAATTAAGTGTCGATATTATTTTGACGGTATATTCATTATACAGAGCTAGCAAGGAGCCATACGGTTTTTTTTCAAATATATAAACATTTCAGACATGAATATCTTGGATTCTACGCAATATATAAATTGATGTTTTGTATTTACCGGCATTCAATTAATTAATATTTTAAGTGCCGATATATATTATTTATATTCATTAAAACATCGACTGTATATTAAAGGTGCTACACTGCTACACTCAGTACAAAGAGCGAAAACTTGCATCAGTCAGTAGCGTAAACAACTATTAAACAGAAGCGGTCTTTGTATCATTGTATGGCGTTATAATACGAAGAAAATATAACCATCAAAATAACTTGTTGCGAGACTAAAGCCTGTTGCGAGACTAAAGAAAATCTCTTGACTCGTCAGAGCTCTTTATTCAAACGAGAAAGACGAGGAAATAGCCAACGTATATCGCTTTACAGTATGAAATATACAGTCACGGGCCTTGTTCACATGTCTGGCACAACGGTGCAAACTCGTGTTCAATGCAGTATTTAATGCAATGAGAACTCTACCATATCTTACAAGAATATATCTGTATCAAAGCTTTATCAAGACTGCTATAAACACTGCTATAACTGTGAAACTATTGACATCTAAAGTGAAATTATTGAATACTTGCGAAAAGCTGAAAATGACTCATGAAAAGCAACTTGATCTTGGGAATATAAAGTCAAAGGTCAATGAGACTTGTTGTGAAACATTCACAAATCACAATTAGGTTAAAATGCGGAAGCGGATGAGGAACGGAGCGGATCCACGGAACGGATATCGCCTTGGGGATAAAGTACGTCCTTTTAATGATGCAACGTCGTAGTGCTTATCATTCATAACATATCTTTAATCCTGTACAGCTACAGGTATTTCAATTAAAGTTGTCACTGAGACAATAGTCAAATGCAATATGGGCGCTAAATTAAGGATCATGGGAATAATCATAGTTTTAAATAAGTTTAGCATATCAGTAGCCTCGTGGGGATGCTTTTAGCGACAGCTCCCAAAGCAAATGTAGTTTTAGAATATGCAAAATTTGGTTGTTGGTGAAACAATTTAAGTTTCGAGTTGTCGCGTGCAGCATCACAATAAATAAATAAATTGTATCAGTTCCACGAGGCACGACATTTTTGATGTGTTAGCCAGTTGTTTCAAACGTCTCGCTATTCATGTGCGGAACGCATTACAGACAATACTGTCAATAGATGAGATGAAATGCCTTTGGTAACTGTTTATTTCGTAGTGTAAGCCATCAGCTTTTCTAGGTTGTCGGTGACCCTATATAGTTCTTGCAGTGTCTTTTTCAATTTGAAACTTCACACTATCCTTGTATCCCTAGTTCTCCCTCGCGTGCCGTCACACGTGCGCTTAATGACGTAAACAAACCAAAGCGCCTGGGTACGAGGCTGGGGTAGGTCGGTTTAAACGTTTTTTAAATTTTCCTAACAACCGGACGCCATGTTTGTATGGTCAGTGCTTCCACATCCAAAGATAAATTTCCCTAATATTGCCTCAAATTACCATTTTCCACAAACGTTTTCATTTAAGTGGAAACACTTACAAGCATGATCCAACAAACACGTTTAGGGTCGGGATTTCGGCGTCCAAAAGCTACGTAGGGTCGGGAAACCGGAAACCCACATATTCTTTTTGGGCCTTAACAGAATTATCGTTAAATGTCATCCGAAAAAGGTTTGAGCCTTTGAGGACGACTCGTCCTCAGTCACTCTTCCCGCGTTGAATGATGGGAATTTTCACGGACCTATGACCACAGAGTGCTATGACGCAGGTACATGGGAATTCGCGTCCTACAGTTTATTCTGGAAGCGCCTGCCTTTTCACAGCAAATTTGAGGGACTGTGGAAGGGTCAGGTTTGAGAATGTTTATAGCAACAAACAAAGGTGGAATATGTTGGCATCATTAATCCGCTCCAATAGTTATTTTAACTTTATTGAAATCAATGTTCAAACGGCAACGACCATGCGAGGCACTCTCCCATTTCAATTAGATTTACAAAGATAATAATATACAAGCACACGTACATAATAAGAACAATTACAACCATCCACAATTGATAAAAAAACTTATTTCAAATATATCTAATCACCTTAGGCTAAGGCATTACTTTCAATGCTCATGTATTAATAATGTACCATAAAACATTGAAAATATTCATATAATTTAAAGGTGGGTGAGCCGAGACCGTAAAATGATGCGTTGTTGATTGTATAATATTTCGTGAAGTGCAACTACTTTGTATAGAAGGTGGCAGGTTTTGAAGAATGAAGTCGTGCAGTATAAGGCAAAAGCAAGAGAGGCTAAATTTCAGAAAGGCTAAATTTCAGAAAGGCTTGTGTCGACTTTGAACATGAAGTATTTATGTAATGTCTTACAATTTTCGAGATATTTTTGTCACATATACATAGGCTAGTGGCGTTGTTGGCACCTTCTCAAATCAAAGGTTCCTATCAAGTTGGGGGACGTAATGCCCTCTACCGTCTCCTCTGTGTGCAGACAAATTGCTTATCATAAAGGTTTTCATTTAGGTGCTGGCGGTGGGATAGGTCGAACGATATGTCAACGATTTGCACGCGAAGGAGCTTCCGTGATTGCGGCTGATATCGATGGACCTAACGCACTGGAGACGGCCAAGACCTTAACTGACTTGGGAGGCGGTGATGCCCGTCATTCTCATTATGAATTAGATGTTACATCTTCAGATCATGTGGAACAGCTCATGGCAGATATAAAGAAAGATTACGCAACACATCCATGTATATCTGTCAACGGTCATGGTATTACTCGAGATGATTTTCTTATAAAGATGAGCGAAGAGTCTTTTAATCAAGTTATCAACGTCAACCTTAAGGTAATTTTATTTTAATGTTAGTTTTACTACTACAGTGTTCCATACGCTAAAATTTAGTGTCCCTAGGCCTTACCTCAGAATGTATTCTGGATAGTGTTGTGCGTCGGAGGCCAGAGTTCTGCGGACGCTCGACGCTGCGCGCCTCGGTGAATAGATCACATATCCCCTCGTTGCCTCAAAATAATCTATGCATATAAATTTGTTTGAATTTATATTGATCCAGCTGAACTGTAGTGCATGGGGTGTTATGATTGGGGAAGACGCGGTGTAGGAGAGAGAATGATTTAGTAAATTTGTTGTCTTTCAGGGCACATTTCTTATGATCCAAGCAGCTGCGAAAGGCATGATTGAATCAAAAGTGGAGAATGGTTCAATTGTTAGCATTGGAAGTATTTCTGGCAAGGTAACTAAGATGTTTTAAACAGAATCATATGTTGGTACGTGCAGGGGTTACACATCGAAGCCGTTTTGTCAATAGTAAATGACGAAGAAATGTGTATTTTTAATTTTTTTCCAAATAATCACCTATGAAATTATACTAAAACAATTATTCACCTCAGACTCGGTGATAATCGTGAATATAAAAACCTCGATTTCGTCTTGGTTTTTATACACCGATAATCACCTCGCCTTCGGCGAATAATTGTTAATTAGCATTTATATCATTATTACGAGTGTTCACCAAAAATTTTGAATCAATATGATTAATTCCTCCTGAGTTACAGCGTCTTGAAAAACAAACGTGCTGACCTCAGCATTATTTTTTGAACGCCATCAGAACTGTGTTATACACAAAATTTAGTTAAAATTGACCATTTTATACCACCAAGCATTTATCCAAAAATCAAAAGCTAAAATTAAGGCAACTTTGAGCCAGTTGTTTATATCAGGTAAGAAGTCCCGTCTTAACCATAACCAATAATTTTTAACTAAATTTTGTCTATAAAAGGCTCGTTCACACTTGCAATTTTAACTGCGATTTTTGCTGCGACTTTCTTCTGATGATGTATGTGAACGAGTGGATAAGTTATGAATGCTCTGATGAGGATACATATACTCCGAACATTCGTAACTCATCTACTCCTTCACATGCATTAGAAGGAGGAAATCGCTGTAGAAATCGCAGCAAAAATTGCAAGTGTAAACGGGCCTTTAACACAGTTCTGAAGGCGTTCGAAATAATGCTGACGTCAGCACTTTTGTTTTTCAAGATATTGATTCACAATTTTTGATCAACACTCGTGATAATATAAACAACATATAAAACTTCCAGTATATATAGAGTTATTGTTTGTTACTTACCAAATGCACTCTCCTCCGCAGAGGCTTTGTAGTCTGTTTTCTTTCTATATTGTAGTTTGTTTTCTTTCTATATATAAAGTTTGACTTGCGGGCAGTAGCGGGCTAATCAAAGAAGTGGGCGCGCGGGGGGAGCAATCGCGCGGGGTTAAAAGGGTGCATCGTGGACATTTGGAGATAATAGGGAATCTTAAAAGGGGCATCGTGGACATTTGGAGATAATAGGGAATCACACTACCAAGCTCGCGGGGGAAAGACGGCCGCTACTGCCCGCAAGTCAAACTTTATATATAGAAAGAAAACAAACTACAATATAGAAAGAAAACAAACTACAAAGCCTCTGCGGAGGAGTGTACCAAATGGGAAAGATCCATCACTTTTGTTATAAAATATGTTGTCATACGTCCATGTTTATAAACAGTCGCATGGCTACCATCGGAAAATATTGTGATGTTCCGGTATATTCCGGGAAAATGTCGTGATATTCCGTGATATTCCGCCATATTCCGTGATATTCCGGCATTCCGGGTTTTCACAACGCCCTCAATCAGATTCGCGTATTTTAGAGGACTTCCTCGAAGATAATCTAGTCGTTATTTTGTTTTATTTATTCTACATTGTCTGATCGTTTGTTATAATTCCTTAGTCTAACCCTAACTGCAACTATATTAGACCTTCTGACTGGGATCGAACCTGCGACCCTGCGATTCGGGTGCAGCGCTCTAACCAACTAGAGGGCCTATAGTTGCATTTTTCGCCGCTGTTTCTGGTTAGGTTTACTTAAATGTACAAAATGTACACTCGCAATTTCCATCTAATGGTAATAATCAAGTTGTTATGTGGATATCCATGCCAACGTTATTGTTATAGGTCATTTGGGGCATGTGGAGCTCAAAACTGAACTGTTTTGTGTTGTTTTTCTTCTTTATCTGGTATTTTAATATTTTCTAATATTGTATCTGCAGGTTGGAAATCTTGGTCAAGCTAACTATGTTGCTTCTAAAGCAGCCATAGACGCCATGAGTAGGACGTGTGCGAAGGAACTAGCCCTGTGAGTTTTTAGATAAAGTACTGTTGAAGAATTTTACTAAATTTAAAGACTTTCAGTAAGTTATTGGTAAACCCCAGGGCGAACCTTTTAGCCATGAAAGAAGCATGCAACTATAATACTAACACGAGTATTTTACTATAGTGTTATAGCTTTTTATAACCCATCAAGTTGAACCACATGCATATCCCGTCGTGCTAGATTGCAGAGTTTGGTAGTTTTCAACGAGATCTCGAGGGCACAATATCTATGTCCGTTCCCATGAGCGCTTCTAGAGCCCGTCGAGGTCATAAACGTGACCAAACAGGTTATTAAAACAAGAAAAATTAGAGTTTGTGGCAGATTAGAGTACGAAAATTGTTATGAATCACTGATTGGTAATGTTTTTACACAATAGTTTCCTTAAGAAAAGTCTCGATCGGGATGACCAACTCTGCAGTCTGGCTGTCGTGCATGTCAGCTACGTTAGAATATACTCCACATAGCGTTTCTTCTTTTGCGACGACAGTTACTGATGCGTCTTTTTTCTTTTCTCAAGGTATGGGATCAGGTGTAACGTTATACTACCAGGTTTCATACAGACGCCAATGCTAAATACTATCCCTTCTAAATTAATAAAAAAGGTTAGGGTTCATTTTGTTATTATCATATAATTTTCTTTTGGAGTGTGTCAGAGCCATTATATAGCCAGGTTTCCATCCAGATGGGAGAGAGATTGGCTCGGGAGCGGCTGAAACACTATACCATACGGGCCTAAATTCAACCGTAGTTTTTCATCGTGTGAAACCTATGCTAGTTCAGTTAATCTTCAGGGCTCCTTGAATTTGTAAATTGAAATTTATAATGTAAATTTTATACCGTTGATTTCGAGCAGCTGTCAAGAATGCAACTATAGCTCAGTTGGTTAGAGCGCTGCACTGGAATCGCAGGGCTGCATGTTCGATTCCTGCCAAAGTGCATATAACATTTTTCGTAGCTGCTACTGGTTAGGTCTAAGTAAATGTATAAAATTTACACTCAAAATTTCCATCTACAAAATCCCTTCAACATCAGTTCAATCGAATGAGACGCCCAAAAATCCTGATGTTTATAGTGGCAACACAAGTTTTATCACATTTGAAATCAGTGTGGCCACTATATATTCTGATTTTTTCTTGTAGTTTACATCAGCAATACCTCTTCGCCGGCTGGGAAGCTCCGAGGGTAATTATGATTTTACAGTCCTGAGTCAACGTTGTAGGGAATTGAATGTTTAGATTTGCAAATTATGCTCCTTTATTATATGGCAAGCATCACTTCCGGTGAAATGGCGGACTGTGATTGGCTGAGAAGCACTTTCAGCGGTCCATTATTTTCCCATAATGGTCCATTACGTAAAAACAAACCGCATGCATTACTTGACGACTGCTTTAAGCTGATTGGTTGATTTTAGGTCCCATTGTTTTTTTCACCAATCAGATCAGTTTGTTACAGAATTTTGCACTGCTGTTTCAGATTAATTGCACTCGAATCAACCAATCACAGTCGAGCAATACGTTTATGCATATTATTAATTAATTATTATATGGCAAGCATCACTTCCGGTGAAATGGTGGACTGTGGTTGGCTGAGAAGCACTTTCAACGGTACATTATTTTCTCGTAATGGACCGCCGGTCCATTACGTAAAAACAAACCGCAAGCATTTTAAAACAAAACAGCAAAACTAATTGAAAATTATAATTTAATTTGTTATTAGTAACATATCTGCGAATGGTTTTTGGTGGAAAAAGGAATACATTGGTATTTTTTGTTTTGTTCGACCAAATGTGTACCACGCTACTAATATGCATTTCAAATCTTGCATTTCTTGTTTGTTTCGAGTATAAATGCCTATAAATGCCATATAATAAACTTACTAACCTCGCTTGCTCGATATGTACAGAGAAATATCGGACCAACCTCGTTCCCAGGGCTTCAGTGTGAGGACGAGGCGAGACACGAGGAAGCCCTGGTCCGGGCCGGTCACGTGACGTCAAAAAATGGCAGTATTTGACAGCTACTCGTCAAGGAGTGGCGAGATATTCTTTAATGAAATATACAAGTCTTCGAAACAAATAAATAGCCAAAAGACTTCTCAATCGATATTATTTATGTGTAGATCGAAGTTTGACACGAATCAGCTAAAATCTATGAAGATCCCGTCTATGTTTTCTAAGATATACCGATATTTCTGGAGATTTTCAACTACAGGCAAAGCTCTGCATTCAAGCTGCATCTAGACGTCTCCATGCAAGTGGTGATTCACACGAAATTTCCTTTCTCTCGTCTTGAACAATATGGCTATTGCTATAATTAATATTTAGTTTAAATATACTCTTCTAGATCTGACTTAGTTCAATATATTAAATAAACACAAATATAAAACCTCGCGTAACCTGTTTACGCTGTACAGGAATATACGGTTCGCTTGTTTCGCCGGACACCAACACTTGCCGTTCAGGAGCAATGCTTGCCTACAAATTTTATCCCCTTCACAATCTTTGTTTTATTTTATCGTATAGTCGCAATTTTCAAGAGTATTCGAGGTATTCTGGAACTGAAAAACTGGGTGGCGTGCGAATCTTGTAGAGACTACATCGGCCTAGGCGTAGAGCTATTAAGTAAACAGGGCCTAAATTAATTTAGTAGTTTCATTTAATTGTTTGTCTTGCTTTTATTTGTCAGTACAGAATATTGTAAATTAAGATACTACTACAATGCAATACGCGTAGTATTTCATCAGACATCTGCACTAATAAATACTGTACAAGGAAATAGTAGACATTTCTTGTTTTGTCAGGAAACATCACAGCTCACTTCGACACGGCTTTTGAGTTTTGTAACCGGCCGAGGCGAAAGTAAATCGTGCAGTCGGGAAAACGTCTTACTTTGAAAGATTATTTTGCAAAGCATACTCGTACACACAAGAATCATAAAAATACAAATGTTGAATTGTATTGTAATTTGTTATTGTCAACCGTCAAGTTCAGTTATTTTTAGACAATATGGTGTTAGCCAATCAGAATGCAAAAGTGACCGGCCCGGACCAGGGCTTCCTCGTGTCTCGCCTCGTCCTCACACTGAAGCCCTGGGAACGAGGTTGATATCGGACCTCAGTCTTTTTGTACAAATCTCGCCTTACGGGCTCGGTCTGTACAGAAAAGACCTCGGTCCGATATTCCTCTGTACAGACCTCGCGTTCGGTTAATAGAAGTTCTTAATTTCGAGTAATGTGTATATCGATTATGAAGATTTGGATTTTTAGTAGTGAATTACTGTGTATTATTATTTAGATGTAGCGAAGGCTGCTTATTTCCTAGCCTCGACAGAGAGCAGTTATATAACTGGGGCAAGCATAGAAGTTACTGGTAGGTGGAAACTAAATTTTAGTTTTAATACTAATTTATATAATTAAGCACTTGTTTGAAACTTTGAGTGTACTGTTCGTCATAGTTTCCAAACGCTACAAAACGGCAGAGGGTGGTAACGGGGATTCTGAGGGATAATTGAGGCATGTATTTCTAAAAACTCGCCAACGTTGTATTTCTGCCAAGTATTGCGTAGTTCCGTTGTTTACAAGAGTTACCTCCGGAGAAGGCTAGGCTATACATAGACAATATTAATAACATAAAAGACCTTGGTCCGATATTTCTCTGTACAGACGTCGCGTTCGGTTAATAAGAAGTTCGTGATATATAAGAGTAACCATAGTTGATATATGGTTACTTAACTATAGAATCATAACTAAAGTATTTACAGTTACGGTTACCTGCCCTGAGTATAGTATGTTTTTTACAAATGTTTTTTACAAAGTCACTCGAAACAGCTTCATTATTGGGCTTAAGCATGTAGGATGGCAACACGACGACGACGGCCAAAACAAATTCCTTCAAATAAATGATAGTAAAGAAAACTTGTCGTATATTATAATTTGTATGAATTTAATACAGTATAAGAAGCTGAAAACATTGGCTTTATGTTTGGGAAGAGTTCTACTGACCGAATTTTAAGTTGCACTTGTTACGCCTTGAAATGCAGGCGTTGTATAAAAGACGTGAAAATCTGTGATTTGCCGTTGTAAACAGAACGACGACTACGTCTGAAACTCCCCTGGGACTTTAATTATTTCTTTTCATTGACTCATTGTATTGGTTGCCGTCGTCGTTGCCGTCCTACATGCTTATTAGAGAGTTTGGCAACCTAGAACGACAACGGCAACAGGGAAAATATAATTGCTTATATTGTTGTATTTGAGCCAAAGTACACGTTACTACACTTAATTTGCCTCTTTAAGTATTCCTGTTTCTTTCAAACGTACCCTTAAGTAAAAATAGTCCGCGAATTCAAATAAAACACCTCAAGTAACATCGAACGAATTAACTTTTGCCATAGTTATGCGCCGTGAAAATGTGCAAATCACGTACTAGTTTCAACAACTACGGCATTGCACAACGCTTAATACCATGTACTTTACATTCGCCTTTGTCTTTAAGGATTAATGCTATTGATGACCATATTGCCGTTGCCCTTGTATTTGCCAAACTCTCCAATGTTAAGCTCCCTATTGCTGGAAGGAAGACACAGTATGCACCGACAATATAAAACTTACACATTTCTTTTTACTTTGTAGGAGGAATCTTTATGTAAAGAGAACTCTAAACTTGTTATATAGTAATTATATATTAACTTCATATACTATATTTTATCTAAGTAAATAACTGAATAAATATGTATAATTGTGTATATATTATAATGTTTGTGAGTAAAAACACCAATTTTTGCGGCAAATATACAAAATCATCAATTGATAAGCACAGAAACCTTGTTTATTTTAGTGGAACCTTGTTTATAAGAAACCTTGTTTATTTTACAGGAAAAAGTGTTTTTATATTCATTCTATACAGCACAATAACACAACACTGCTAAAAATAAAGAATTTATTTTCTCGAGCGAGACTCGAACTACATCTGTTAGGCGTAGAGGTCAGTTCAGTGTTAGAAGTTACGTTAATGTAGTTGATAAAGCTTTTGTTTCGCCATTTATGGACTTGCACATCAAAAAAACCTTCAAGGCAGACGTCTACAGGGGATGGTAAGAAAGGGCTGAGAAATTAATGCATTCTCGTCACCTCATCAACTGACTCCCAGTGAGTGTCTATCATAGGTGTCTATGAGGTAGTGGTAGCAAATCTGAACTTCTCCATAGTCTGGTCTAATACCGACCTTTTCAAACTGAACCACAGTAAGGTTTTGTTTCCGATGGTGTGCACACACTAGTATAACCCACTTCCATTTCTAATTCCCGAATGCAAAAGGTTTGCAGCAATGGTTATGACCAAAGGCGTTGCTTGGAAGCGTAGCATATAAACATGAATCGAGCTTTACAATTGAGTCACATTTTGCTCAGTTATTTCACCTATTTGTTGACTTGGAAACACAATTCTGAGTTCATTTGCTGTGTCTGCTCATTGAAAGGTTCGAAGATTAAAAATACTTGTCATTTTCTCCAATAAAATAGACTTAGACCTTAGTAGCCCGCCATACAGTAAGCAGCAGAAAAATGACCTCGAGCCGGAAAGTGACAGAATGCAGTCCTCCCGGACGTTTTTGGAAATATTTTCAATGACAAGTTGCTCCGCGCCTTTCATAATTATGTTGTAACAAGGGATGTTGAAAGCTGGTTTCAACGAGTTACTGAAACCAGCTTTCAACCTCCCTTGTTTATACAACATATCGCACTTTTTATTAAAAAGGGTCCTGAAAGTAGACCGTATTGCTGATTGTTCGTAACATTGAACGCCGAGATTGAATGAACCAATGAAGTACATTTATGTCTTTGATGTTCCTTTCTATCCCATGTGATCTCCACTGCTCCACATTCTTGAAAGATTTCAATTTTCAATCAATGGCTGATCGACCTGAGTCAGAAAATGCATTTTCTCCTTCACAAGAATTCAACTTATACCTCAGTAATGAGTCAAAATCACCCTTGAATCATAGCAAAAGAAGTCTACAATTTTCCCCGATGGAAGGTAGTTAAGTACTTTAAATATTGCTTTGTTTTGTTCGCGCGTTTTTGTCAATATTTCACATGTAAACAATGAACTGTTACGTTTTAATTGTACTGGTTAACTTAATCACAACATTATAATGTTTCAGGCCGAGATTCTTGCAATACATTCTCAAGTCTTACTTTGGATCCACAACGCAGAGAGCTGTTGGAAGCTAGGTTCTTTGACAATAGAGTAGATAATAGGGTAGGTTTTTATGCAAAAATGCAATTTTATTATAAAGTTGCAACTCATGAATATGCCACAAATTGCCAAATCTCTGGGATATTCAGGGGTGCTTCAGGTTGTACACTGTATAACCAAGTTGATGTACATTTCGTCCATGTTGATGTACAATTTTCTAACCTAGTTTTATCCATGTTTCTGTTGTATTTATTCCATGTCGGCCTGACTAGAAAGTTTGGAAATTGAACACTTGGAATGTGTTAGCAAACATATAGAAAACATCAAGACTGAGATTTCAGTTGCGTGATCCAAACTGTGTGTAAGAAATAAGAAATGTTTTGCCGGCATTTGCAGAGTTTTCAAAGCACTAGCAGATGAGGATTACTGTTATGCATAAGATAAATAAAATAATTAATGCCAATATACAACCTCATCCCCAACACAGATTAAGTATGACCAGATATGTAACTTAATAGGACTTAATAGGAATATCCTCAAATTTCCCTAGATGTTACACGTCATGCTCACGCCATAACACTTGCTAGCAAAATGGCATCCTGAAAAAAATGGCGTTCTTTTTAGGGTGATGCGGTTATTCGGTTAACCGAGATGAATCGGTTATTTTTACAGATCGGTTTCGCGAGTCTTCTAAATATCAGATAACCGACTAACCAAAAAACCGATTCAAAATATAAAATTCAAAATAAAAGGACAAACAAGCGTGCTACATGTGATCAACATAAAACTATAAGCAAGCTACGTTATACTCTTTGGTGATTACGCGATTTAAATCAATGCTAGAAGCCTAGACGTCACGTGGATAACACACAAGACATGTTGTTTATTTTTGTCAAAATAATTTCATTGATTAAAAGAGTCGGTTATCTTGGTTATTTTGTGATGATTCTCGGTTTCGGTTATTTTACGAAACCGCATCACCCTAGTTCTTTTACACTTTATTGCTGCCTTTTTGGATTGAAATTTTTGGATTAAACAATTATTGTTGAATGTTTAAAGTTGTTGAAAGCAATTAAAGTTGTTGAAAAGGTATTGAAAACATTTTTGAAAGCAAGACATATTACCAAATGACGAATTATCATGCGAGCGACACTTGCTTGGAGTTACACATCTGTTATTAGTCTGTGTTCCCAAGGATGCATTCCCACTACAAAGAGGCCTGGGGACGAGGTTGACAATGCTGTACTGCTGGAATATGTCAGTAAATCCTTTATGTTACATTGTGCTCTAATGTGCCGTTATACCCCATTATTTTACTCTGTCTAACACCAGAGCAATGGTGGTACTCAATGGATTAACCCAATCTCGTTCCCGAGCCTGCGATCCTCGGGAAGGAACGCGAGGCTCTGGGATAATCTGTTTCAGGGAGGAATCTGATTGGCCGTTGAAATGGAATGCATAGTTCAATCTTAGCCAGAATTCCTGGCTTCCGGCAACGGATTATCCCTTGGGAAACGAGATTGGAGTTAACCAGACAATCACAATCATTTCTTATTATTTGCACCATCTACACTGGCACAGACCATTCAAGATTTTAACCAGTAGTGATTGACCAATAATCTATAACATTGTATCAGTCATGGGATAAGCATTGCCTTATAATCGGTAGACAATCAGAATCAGTAGAATTTATAATCTATATTTCCCAAATGTTGTCTAAAACTGATTGTTGAGAAAATATAGTACGTATATACAGTACATTACACATTCATTGATACTTGTTGCGTTTCAACATGATATGCTAAATTAATGTGTGAAGCGTGCCATTTAATGATCGTTGGTTGCAGTAACATGTTACATTGGAAATTATCCTTAAAAATCGACACAAATGATGTCATCTTTATTCTGTTGACTGATGTCATGACGTTAAATTATAAAATCGGTATTGGGTAGTTTGTGGCATGATAGTTTCCGATTGTTGCACAATCGATCAATCACTAATAACCAGACAGTTGGCCTATGTGTCTAGTTGACCCTTTAAATTAAGTTGCATTGTGCCCTAATGTGCCTGGCATTATTAGAATACTCTGCCTAATGCCAGACGACTTTACTTGTCAACACATTTAAATCTTATATTTGGTTATACAACAAATCAGGATTCAAATTTGAGTGCTGCTTCATCTGGAATATCTGGAATATCTGAAACATCGAGAGATTTTGAGGTAATGTTTCATATTTTTCTCTGTTGAAATTATTAGCAATGATATGCAATTTGGCAAATAACTTGTTAGATGATGAAGCTGCAAGACATTAAGTTTAGACCAAAAAAATGTGGAAGTGTAAAGACAGACATGTTAAGTCTTTGTCACAGACTTGATTACTGTTGATAGTTTCAACAACGAATAAAATGCTTAAAGGGGAAGTCAAGTCCGTAATGTAAACAAACAGTTTGTTTACATTTTGAACTGCTGTATTTTTTAAAATATGATGTACTGTCTGAATATCTAACACCATTTTGGTTCGTTATGCTTCTACATGAATATGAAATAGAGTTTGTGTTCAGAAAAATTCGAAACATTCAAAATTTGAGCAATGTTTACCTCAGAGGGCCCTCTATTGTTATGCGCAGAACCGATGCGCAGAACGGACTTGAATCAATCTTTGAAAGCATTTTTTACTTTAAAGAGTGGAGCAGAAGTGAAAACTGATGTTAAACATGTCAAACGTAAAAGAAAAGCTCACGATGGCGACCATCCAGGTATTTCCAATACTTGAAATAGCTGTCAATGGCAATAGGAAGTCTTATTTGAGGAAAGGAAGGTGAAAATAATTCTGAACTGGTAATGAAACAACGATAACCTACCCGTCCAGTGAAAATAGACACTGTTTTATTTGAAAACAATGTATTGTTCAATTTTTGCTTGTGTGTTTTATTATAAAGCTTGTGAAATTTTTTCTAGTAAAAATAGAAAAGATGAATATAGATATTAAATGAACATTTCTTTAATCATGGGGGCCCATCCAAGAAGAGAAATCGCAGGCAATAATTTCTTTGACCTGCAAGAAACAAGAGGACTAACTAAAATATGCTACAGCTGCGCGTATGCAGATAATTAACAGAAAATTTGTTGTCTCTCAGCACTGCAAATAATTTCTGTAACTTGGCAGTCAAGTACAATATTCTCCCGGTCAAACATTAACAACTGAAGTGAACTCAGAACTAGTTATCCATGCGAGAAACAACATTTTATTCATGTAATTATTATTTAAATCATAAATGTTTTAACTTATTGTGTAATTCTTAATATCAATTTGTCTTTTCTTTTTTGGAGCCCAGCCTTCCCATCATCAAGTTGATCAAATTATTGCAATATTTATGTTTTGGGCGTTGTTTTTAGATTAGCCCTTGAGTTGACGTACGTGCTAACGTGCGTGTAAAATTCTAAGCACGTCATTTACATCGCGATATCTCATTGGCTTGCTAGCAGATTATACCAGTATTTTACGTTGCATACTTACGTTTAAAATTAAAATTTGGCCAGTCAAAGTAATATTTAGCCAGTCAAAGTAATATTTAGCCAGTCAAAGTGATAATTGAAAACAAAAAAGCGGCGTTCATTGCCCTAATATTATTGGTCATTGACCGGTGGCCAGCCGTTATTTGCAGCGTTGGTCTCTTACATGTGGATACTCGATGTTGTAGAGCATGCATTCGGAAATTACGGTCCACCATTCTACCGATTAAGACAAGGGTGTGAGGGGGCAGGTTTCATCCTTGTTTAGTCTTTGAAATGCCAGCCAGGCGAAATATTTCGCATTTTGCTGACAAAAAGCGCTCGTGGAATCAGGACTTAAAGCGTATTGTTTACAACGAATTTCAGGGAGCTCGGAAACGGCTCAGAAGGTTAGGCAAACGGCTGCTGTGTTGTAGTCCGCGGGTTCGAATCCGAGTTTGTGACGGCTTTTTGTTCGCCTTAACAAAACATGTTTAACTTTTTTTCTGACTAGTTTTAATTTTTTTAGGGGTTAGAGTTAGAGGTTAGGGTTAGGGGAAGGATTGGGGTTAGGGTTATTTTTGTTTTAATTTGACTTTAACGATAAATACAGGCCATATGGAGACTAAGAACGAGAGTGCCGTAAATATAGCCTGGCGAAGTCTGTTTACGGGCCCGTAGATATAGCCACTTCGTACATTATATTATAGCATTTGTAAATTCTGAACGCTGATTGGCTAAGAGCCGTGTTGATATAACTTATTGTCAACACGGAAACGTCGGAAAATTGCTTTCTTTATGTTTCTTTGTGCTATATTATTTCCACACAATTTCTCGTTTTCCCAATTTCCACTCGTGTTGATATAACTGTATATCAACACGGAAAATGTTTTATATTTGTTAAATGTTTCAAATCTCCTTTTTTAATTATTAAACGAAATATGTTCCAGTCAGGAAGTTCTAAACATGTTCCTAACAAGAGAACCAGATTTACTAGGATGGAGATGCTGACAGTTTGAACAGAGTCAGTTGTCTCACTTTATTGTCTTAAATTCACAATATAGGTCAGCCCAAGGTGGGAAGACCTGAATCAAGTTCCAAGAAAATTACCGGCTACTTTTCAAAGGTATGTACTGTAGGAGAAATTATCATTAAACTGATTGATCATCAAGGACTTTTACTGTACACTGTTACGTTTCGAGCCAGCATCAATTTGTATTTTATTTATTATATACTGGTTGATATATATGCTGTAGTAGTACAGTGGTTTCTGAGCTGATAAGTGCCCAAAGGGACCGTGGTGTTACAGCGCTATTCCTTGTCTCGTTTTATAATAATTTAACGCGAGATGTGAGTAGTAGATATCTGTGCATCACGTCATGCGGTTGTTTTGTCGTAGTTGCGAGGCTAGAATCTTGTAAAGTACAAAAACAGAGGACCAAAAACATAACAATACCAGAAGGTGAAAGAATATATTTATTATAAAGAAATACAAAGCATTTTATGAGATAACGTTTAAGGGAAGAAGAATTTAGATCGATCAATGGCTTACAGTACATATAAGTTTTGTATTGTTTCTATAATTTAGCTATTAATTCCCTCGGGGCCATCTATAAGAAGGTTTGGAGAATTGGTTAGCAAGCGAAGACCGTAAATCTTCCAGTTTTTCTAACCATCGTACTTGTCCAATTACCTATTTTATACCAAGAAAGTGATTATCTTTCTATGTAGACGAATGGAACAACAACGCCACCAAATAAAGTTCTTTCAACACCGAGTCCTAAGCGTACGCCGACAGTTGATGATGAAGAAGCCTTTGTAAGTATTGATTGAAGCTTTCAGGAACCTACTGTATGCCTTATTGCGCTACTGATGCTGACCTTGTACCCAGGGCCTTTCAGATCATTCTACACAGAATGAGCGACTGAGGACGAGTCAGTAGTCATGTTCAACATGGAGAGGTTGGAGAAAAAAAGATTTCTTTTGTACCTGATGATATGATTGTGCACCAATTTAACATACATGTTTAATTCTGTTGTGTATTGGAACAAGACTCTGCATGGCGACATTAAACAGTCTCTAGGTGACTAAGTTGAACATCAAACATAAAAGATAAACCATAGTTAATAGGATAAACTAAGACCAGTCGTACGAGTCATTTAAGTTTAAGGGGTATTACATTATTGCTTTCATGATATTGGCCTGATTTTTGCTAGAGACGGGTCATCTGTCTCAATGAACTTGGGCAAATATAGTTTGCTGATAATTCGTGTGAGTGTGTATAAACGCGGGAAACAGATGGATCATCCATCAGGACGAACTATTGAGTGCGTAGTTTGTCTACTCTACTCCATCTATATATAAATAAGGCATAATACGAACTATCGGGAAAAATCACTACTTTGTTGCTTCATTCAGCGGAGTTTTGCAAGCATCGTTTGTTCCCAAGTTTTTTCCAGTATACAGTAGATGGTGCTATGTCAGCTACAGAGTTTGTCTGCATAGTTTGTCTTGTGTTTATACTCACACGAATGATCATGTGGTTTAATCTTTAACAGAGTCCATTGGAAAGCAGTTCAACCCTTCCTTATTTGTTGGGACAACCTCAGAGTTTGATACGGAGATCCAGTGAATCTTGTATGTCACCACCACAGCTAAATGACAATGGCAAAGAAACGATCTGTGTACATGAATCAACTCAGGTAACATAATCCTGCACTGTAAATCCCTAACTGTTGTACTTATGTTACACTATATCATATGTAGTAGGGATGTGCCCCTTTGCCGTAACCGAATGGTATTGGATAGCCGTCTACCGGATAACAAATACATGCATGGATGATGAAAATATTTTCTGCGACCTATCGACAGTTCATAACTGTGCTTTAACTTCCGGTGGACTAAACAGCATTAGTTTTATAAAACCAAAATGACTGCTGAAATTGTGTTTATGTACATTTTTGAACTGTCGTTGCCAGTGTAGGTAGTGGCAATAATATAAACAAGCTTTCGTTGGTACAGATGCAACTGCCTAAAAAATATAAGGAGACTTTCGACGTTTCAAGCGAAGGCCCTTGGTCTGGCGTTACTGAACTCCAGACGAAGGGCCTTCGCTCGAAACATCGAAAATCTCCTTCTATTTATTAGGTAGTTGCTTCCCTAGCAACGACAGCTTGTTTATCAGGGTTCGTAGCGGTCTTTGAAATCCTTGAAAGTCTTTAAATTTGAATGCAGGTCTTTGAAAAGTCTTTGAATTGTGTGAAAAAGTGAAGAAAGTCTTTAAAAGTCTTTAAATTCTTTAGTGAGTATATCATTATACTATTCCCTAGCTAATAAAATAGATTGATTGAAGCAAGATTTTCGCAAATATGGACGAAAAAATGCATTTTAGGATGTTATTTGACGGGACTAATTACCTGGTAAAAATGGTGCTTATATATCGCAATTTTTCTACACCTGATTGCTCTCAAAAGTCTTTGAAAAGTCTTTGACAATAGGCAGATAAAATCTTTTGATCTTGGAGACTACGAACCCTGTTTATGTACATTTGCTGTTTAACGTATAGCTTTCACGCGAGTGTACAGTGTGCAGGTTGTAATCGTCAGAGCTAGACATGAGCTAATCATCAAAACTGGCGATTACTGTGGCCGATTATTTGAAGGCTGATTGTACCAAAATATCGGCCGATTAATTGGCATCTGCCGATGTCGTTATGTTGCTAGTCACCAGTACCATATAGATGAGTGTGCGTTACGTTTATATAAGCAGCTAGAAGTTGCGTAAAATCATCGAGAATAAACTAACCCTTGTCGAACTCGAGTTAACTGCATTTATCCCTTCAAATCTCGCGTTAGTTTTCGTAGTGTAACTAAAATCTTATGTAAAACTGGTTTCCACATTAAACAATTTTTGAATCCATCGTAATTATCTAAGTTTTCTGTTTTCTTTACAGAGTGATTTGACTATGGAAAAACTGGCGGTGAGGATACTATGTATTCATGGAAAGTTTTATTCAGTGGCAAACACTCTGTCACTTGGTTAAACACCTCGTGTTATAGTGGAGTTTCCATCAGCTATATAGGCTTATAGAATGATTCGAATGTATTTGGATTTGTATATATATAGTATGTTTTCAAGTTCAAGTAGCTACATGATTATACATCATTCCATGAGTAGATGTTAGAAGATTTTTGTTGTCATCCTTACAATAACTACTTTACTAACAGTATATATAATATAATGAAATCTTTTTGTAGGAGTATGAAACATTGGCATTTGCATCGTCACAGGAAAAGGACAAGAAAATTAAAGAACTAGACACCGTATGTTACATTTTTAAATTAATGAACAAGGGGATCAACAGAACATGCGATGAGTCAATATTCATTACACAAGGTGTAGTTGCCTAATTTAGTCCGGAGCCCACGTGCTCGACAACGCCTGACGGTTAATATTTGGTCAGGGAGAAAAACTGGGGTCCCAGAGAGCAACCCTCAAAGCACAGGAGAGAATCAAAATTTTGCTTACACGAATGTTCAAACACAGGTGAATTATTCAACATTGGTAAATATACCCTCGACATACAGCAGGCTTACTAGTTCTGTTCAGCGCTAGCCGTATCTTCTGAAATAAAGCTCTTGCTAGGTTACGTTTGAATATAGGGCCTTCAAAAGTATTCTTAGGTAATCACAAGAATCATCAGAGGGCGTTAGTATCAGAATATAACCATGGTTAAAGTGAATCATATCGTCCTTTCCGCAACTTTTGAAGCTCGTTGTCTCATCGTACATGTTTATACTTGTAAACAATAAGGCAATGTTTGTGTCTAAAGGTACACGCCATCCCGCCTATGCGTGTTTCCCTGCTAGGAGGGGTGTAAACTGCTTCCCTAGCCGGGCTAAACAGGCCCTTTAACCATCAGGTAGTTTCTGTTGTATAGTAACATCGTTATTTTATTTAGATGAATGGAAATTTGGTCCGACAAATTACAGAACTAAAGGTATTTGTGATCGATTTTTGTGGTGAAAAACACCACCATTTTTTGTTTCGCAAAGCGTTCGATCCAGGGGTGGAAAAAATAATTTTGTTCCTGCAAGCACAGCCTAAAGATAAACCATTTCCTGCAGAGTATGTTTGTGTTAAATCTCGTACCAACGATGACTCTGGGTACGAGATTGGTTAAATCTAGGCATACGGTAATTTCCTGCAGCTGTAGGTTGAACTTTGCATCGATGAAGATGCATGCTCCCGGATCAAAATGTCTTAGCGAATCGTTACTGCTTCTGCATGCACGGCTCTATGAGGGCACAGGAGAAACCTGTTCTACACAGTGTATTACTGTACACATGTTCGTCTCAGATAACCTATTGTATTTTTTTCAGAAAATGGAAGATAAATTAAAGAAAACAAATGACAAGGTACGACAAGAGTAAGGAACGCATATATTAATTGTTTGTACCCACTGCAAACCATACATGCAGAGGCCAGCTAACTTTCTGGGGCCAGTTGTATAAAAAGTAGTTAGAGTTCACTGTAGTTGGTGAAAGGGTATGCCAATCAGAATAATTCATTTTAGATAAGTACGATTGAATTACCCAGAAGTAGTCAAGCTGTACTGCACGAGTTCTATACACCCGGTCCCAGCCTACTAGTTTGTTATACAGTATGCACATACATAGCTTAATATGCACTCGAAATCCCTCACGGTTTTTTAATATTTTAATTATATAATATAATTTTAGTGTATCGAATTTATAAAAGACCTCTTGATAGATCAGGTAATTTGAAAAATTGAAGTAAACCAAATTTAGCAAATATTTTTGTAATTTAATATGAAAAATTTGAAGTTAAAATATGGACATTTACAATAATAAAATCATGTTACTTTATTAGTCACGGCAATACAAAATGAAAACGAAACGCGACAGTATGAATAATCGTCTTCGATTGGGTCAATATGTTCCAACCAGGTACTGTAGGCTTTGTAGTGTGTGTACCCAGGGTGTTTTTCTGAAAGAAAGAAGGTGCGAGTGTAGAGGAGAGCCTGGGTTTGAGTTGTTTTGTGTATAGTGTACACTCTTTAAACTGGAATATTTTTGTACGGTACACCAGCACCGCGGTCAAATTAACGTCCTTAGTATTGAGTGCTTGCGCTGGAAAGACTGGAAATAGTATTGTCTTCACGAGACTCTAGCAAGAAATATAAAGAAAATTACGAGAGTTTAAACTCAGGATAACTTCATCTTGACACAAGGCGAAAAGCTGTGAATTTCCTTACCTTATAGCTTCAGCCCTTAGGAAACACTTTTCTAGAGCTGTGCACCGGAGTACCGGAGCCAGAGCTCCTGATATTTTGCTGGAGCCGGAGTTGCAAAACTCCGGTAGACAAAATTATGAACTTTTGGTAATGGAAAAATTAAGTTGAATGATTTGAAGTTATTATAAAGTTTAATTATTTGCTCCGATCCGATTCGTGGCTTCGAAAATTCTGCAAGCGCATTGCTATCGCTTTTGATACAAAAATCTGCTGACCCCGATGAATTTTGGGCGAATATACCACGCTGCCATGCGGTTTTACTTTCTTCAAAACATTTAAACAAGCACCGTATTTGATAAGGAAAGGAGAAGCTCGAAAAGGAATAAAATAAATTCTGAAACTACACTCACTGAAATACTTTCGCCTGCTTCTACTTTTAAATATGAAATTTCCTTAAAATTTCCTTGCCGGAGTTTTGACTGCCGGAGCTAAAATAACCGGAGTTTGCACAGCTCTACACATTTCTCGTATTTTTTGGCAGACATTTTCCCCGCCATTTTCAAACGCACGCGCTTTACGTTTGACATCGGTGTTTGGTACATTCTGTATCTACGTTCATATCGTAATGCGTGAAAGAATGCGTTGTGATCTTTACATACGTTAACCGTATACATATACTACAAGTACAATGTTGTTCTGAACTGTAAAAACTTTGTTCAATTTTCTATGAAGGCAAGGAGCTCATTTTTTGGAAACGTGGGAAGACGGATTTTCCTTTAAGGAAATTCAAAAGTAAGTTCTCTCATGCTCATTTTTTAGGAGAAAACTGGTATCACTTATTTTCACTCTCCTTATATTTTTACGGATTTCTGAAATCGTAAGCTATTATCCATGTCTATAACTCAAAGACAGAGTCTCAAAAACTGTATACTTGCGCCTCAAAAATATTAATATCACACGAGAGCAGTGAATTAATAGGGACCACGCCTCTATAGTGTTTCTCAGTTAGCCGAGCAAGACATTTTTATGATCAATGAATTAATACACAGACAAACGACGCTTGTATTGATAGAATTTTCCCTTCATACACCAAATTTGCGTAGGGAGGAAGGCTTCCCCGGAAGCTAATGCTTTTTGTTCTTATATTGAAAGAAATTCCATCGATATCTATTGTGATGGTCAAATGGCTCCATAACGTGATTATTCTGGCTCAATTCTTTGTGCAAAGATCATTGATAAGGTTAATAATTTTGCAGACAACAAGACGCCATCAATCAACAAAAAGAAGAAATCGAGAAAAAGAAGAAATTACTGACGAAAAGAAAACCACCAGCTACAGGTAAATGGCCATACTGAGCATTAATAAAGGACCATCATCAATTCATCTGTAAAGGACGATTCACATTGGTGACCTTTACGTTTATTTTTCTCTTTCTAACGCATGCACTTGACTAATGGACGTCCTCATGTAGGAGTCAGTACTCAGGGCTTTTACGGACGGGCGCTACTGAATAGAAGGTTTGAGCAAGAAACGAAGTACGGCGACGAAGATGTACTTGACAATTTTTACTAGTCAGCGGATTATCGCGCTCATGCTGAGTTTGGGGTTCGCAGTGGTTGTTCAACGAAGACAGGTTATCTTTATGAATACTGACCCTAATCCTTACCCTGACGAAACAGGGAGACAGGAATCCATATCCCGTCCGTTCTTCTGCCTTATTTTGGCAAAATTCGTCGTGAACTTCGTTGTAGTCTGAACGAAGGTAGAAGAATAAAGACGGGATATAGTTTAATGTCTCGCTGTTTTGAGGATTAGGGTCAGTATTCATAAACAACGAGACATGATCAATAACGGGAAGACACTTTGAGCAACTACCAGTGACCCGAACTCAGTACGTGCAAGATAATGTCACAGAATACTATACAGAAGTCCATCTCCATTGTTTTTTGCGTAAGTGCTATTCGTCATGATTCGTCACTCGGCAAGTACCGTAAACAGAAGCAGTCACCCCCCTGGACGTGTGCCATTTTGAATATTTTCAGGGGGGACTCCTTCTGTTTACGGTACTTGCCGAGTGACAAATCATGACGAATAGCGCTTACGCAAAAAAACAATGGAAATGGACTTCTGTGTAGTATTCTGTGATAATATGCAGACGGGCAAAAATTGTCAAGTACGTCTTCGTACTTCTTTGTTTTGCTCAAACTGTCTAATAATGTCTCTAGAATTGTCCACTGCTCTCGTGGGTAAATTCGCTCAATCACATACATTAGAAAGAGAAGAGCACCGTGGTATTATGAATTAAAGCGGCTACTCCTCGTACTATACATCTGTACCTCGGTCTGGGAACGTAAATGTTATGTTTGTTTGGTAGTAAAACGACCGTCTTAAGTAGTCGCTTTCCTGGAACAACTTTTGAACCGATCAACTGTTTTGCTCGAAGCCAGTGGCATAGTGGTACATAGAATAGAGGAAACATTTCTTAAGAGCTAAATTTCTTTATAACATCCAAATATTTTTAACAGGAAAAGAGAAAAAGAATTCTAAAGTGGGAACTGACTCTGAATTCGCTAAACCACCAATACCAGCAAGGTTTGGTTTAATGTTTTTATATTGATGATTGACGACCTGAAATGATGTTGAGGAAATTATTTTCTCTCTAGCTTGACGCCTTTAGAGTATTACGAACAAGATGAAATATTAAAGTTACGAGCGGCATATACAAAAAAGGTAGGAATCATTGAAAATCTTTAATGCTGCCTAAATTACTTATGTGTTTTTTAAGTTTACGATGTAATGTAATGAAATGCAGTCTAATGTAATTTAACGTGATGTGTAATACTAATATAATGTAATGTGCTACTCTCTAACTTAATCTATTTCATACATGTAGTTTTTCAGACCTTTTTCGACCTCAATTTTCCAGAAAATTCCTTAATATTTAACACGTTTCGCAATTTTAGGGCCCCCTCTCCGCAAGTTGGGCCCCCTTTTTCACTATTCTTTGGGGGTGATACACCCCCCCCCCCCACCCCCAGTAGTTCCGGCTCTGGATTTGGGGCATCTCACTCGCTAGAACTAAAAGTTGGAGGGTTTTGTAGATGGAATCGACCCAGCGATTCTGATGCAGCGCTCTAACCAACTGAGCTACTGAGAACAGTTGTCGAGCTCTAACCGTTCCGCTGCACTGGAATCGCTTGAGCGCAGGTTGGATTCCTGCCAGATTGTTTCTACTTGCATTTTTCACAACTGCTCCTGGTCAGGTCTAATAAATGTATAAAATTTACACTCGAAATATTTCCATCTACAAATCCCTTCAACTGTATATGATTGTACTCTATTGTACTTTATTGTACTGTATTTCCCTGTTCTGTATTGCAGTTTAGCCGTCGTTTTCAAAGTACGCGTATTTTTAGGAGGAAAGTGATCTGGCAATGGAGTTAGAAAAATTAGAACGAGAAAGAAATCTTCATATTCGAGAGATGAAACGATTGCAAAGTGAAGATAAGTCAAGGTAATGCATAATTTATGTTAATAAGTATAGGTGATCATGCGATGGCGAGTACAATTAGGGATTAATAGTTAATAGTACGAGTGATGTTTGGAAATTTTGCCAAAATTGGACGAGCCGCCGGGGCGAGTCCAATCTGGCAAATTTCCAAACATCACGAGTACTATTAACTATTAATCCCTAATTGTACGAGAACATCGCATGATTACTTGTTTATTATTAGCATGACAAAACCTAAATTTTTCCCTAATTTTCAAAATTTTTTCGAAAAATTCAAATTTTCTGGGGGGGGCTTAGCCCCCCCACTTTTACTTCTGGGGGGGCTTTAGCCCCCCTAGCCCCCCCTGTTTCGCCGCCCCTGGTTCCTCTAGGGCAAGTTCATTTCACGTTTGTGTTTAAAATACCTTTCCGCCATTTTGTTTGTTTTGGGAAAATCATTAATTGTACTGCAGTACAATTAATGATGGTAATAGAACGAATAGGAGTGCTATTAATGCCATAATCATACGAGTGATTACAAAATCAACCGACCGCGTAGCGGGAGGTTGATTTGTTAATCACGAGTATTATTATGGCATTAATAGTACGACTTAATTCGTTCTATTACTTATTAATTATTTATCTTCTGTAATCAAACTGTTTAAGGGGGAAACGCAGAAAAATACAATTTGTTGAAATTCAATATAATTTTTAAATTTTTGTCACGACAATTCTTAGTGAAATAGTACAATTTGAATTATTATTTATCATATATAATCAAATTAACATATTATTAACTTCCGGGCATTATTTCCGGTATAACCACATGACAACATTTGTTTGAATTATTCAACACACAATTGGGAAGCCATGTTTGTATGTTTATAACGTGTTCAAAATAGTGAAGTTCTTTAGTTCAATTAATCATCTGAATTGGATTGTGTCTAGTTCGGTGTCTTCTGCTGGATGAACAGGTAGGTCATTTTCGTCAGAAAATATATAATTTAACAACCCTCGAAAACGAGATCGGCATTTGGCAATGCCGACCTTCAGTATTAAAATGCCGACCTATCAACCTCCCATGTCGGCAATGTTTTGCCGACCTTAATTCAGCCAAAGTAAGAATCTTTTTGGTTCTTATAGTTGTTAAAAAGTCAGCGATTATAGAATTCGATGCACTTTGGTGTAAGGTTTAAGAATTAACGGGTATATTTATGATATAATTTAGGTAAACCTCTAAAAGAAAAGGCTTCGTGACATTTATACTTTTCAATGATTCGTAAATACGTGATTACTAGTGCAGGCTACTAGTGCTCCAAGACATGGAAACAGATTTTAAAAAATGCCGAGATAGGTCAGATTTAGGTCGGCATTTTTTTTCCGACCTCAATTTTGACGGTTTTCGAGGGCTGATTTAAAAATTGAAAGGGCAAAATTTGTGAATTCCTCCATTTTGAATTTTTTACAGCAATAAATAAAATAAAATTTAAAGTTTGTATCCTGAGTGCTGATTGGCTAGTGTAAATACTAGACTGATTTTCATTGGCTGTAGACAAGAGTGCGATTACAGCTCAGAAAAGGTGCGATTAATGCTCAAATCGCACTCCTGTAAACCAATGAAATTGCAGTATTTGCCACTGATTACAGAAGATAAATAATTAATGAAATAATTGACACTCTCAATTAATGAAATAATTGTACTCCTCTCAACCAATCAGCATCCAGTAATTTTGTCATGCTAATAATAATGTTTGTAATCAGTTTAAATCAAGCTGACCAATGTTGTGGCTTGCATGGAGACATAACATTTAACACTGGTTTCTATTTGGTCGTAACAATCGCAGGACAATATCGAAATGGCCAAAGTAATAGAGTGTCAATAAGGCCTGTTTTGCATACAGCACATAAGACAATCACGTGGTCAAAACAGCGCGACCAAATTAAAACAATGCTTTATATATTATTGGAGAACTATTTCTGTGAGGAAATTCCAGCCATTTGTAACTAATTATTACTCATTGCAATGGCAAACTTGTATAGTATAAAGGCACTAGATTGTCGGAAATGTTGTTTGTACAGGTAATAAGTTATTTTACCCTCCTCTTCTTTTAACATATATACTCTTTTAAAATACATCTTTTTATGAAAGTTATACATTTCTACATTTAAACTTATCGTTACTATTTTGTGATTAATATCTTATCAGGTTCAAAGACAACCCAACCTTATCTGAAAGATATCTTCTCTTGCATCTGTTGGGAAAAGGAGGATTCAGCGAAGTCCATAAGGTACTGTTGATGGTTAAATGTTTCTATGGTTAAAGTGTAGTTACAAAATTTTTCGGTTATTCTTAACTTTAGTAAAACAATAATTGACTACAGAAAATTTACAGCGGTAATAAATTTAAGAATTCTACACAGTCAGTTTTTGCAGATATTAGCTAAATTCACAATATCCTTTTTTAACACGACATAATGTAGATGATATTTGTATATGGCTAAATATCAGAATTGAACCCATGTTGAAGGGCTTTGCTAAATGCAGCTGCTCCATGGTCAGGTCTAAATAAATGCAAAGCCTTATGACGTTTGTATATCACGAGTATATGTTGTTTCGAAATCTTAATAAGGAAACTGGTTACATGTTTGTAGGGATTTGATCTTAAAGAACAGCGCTATGTGGCGTGTAAAATACATCAGTTAAACAACGACTGGAAAGAAGATAAGAAAACAAACTATATCAGGTGAATTTTATTAAGTGTTGTCACCTGAACATCAGCGTTAAGGTCCGGACGCGATTCGACAACGCGTCGCGATTTTCGATTTTCACTGACCGATAACTTTGATTCTAGTTTAAATTTTCCAAATATGTAGAAGCGGTATAACATTTTGAGTTATTTGGTCTACATATCTTTCAAAATTTGCTCTCATTGGCTGTTTTATTAACTTTCAAAAACTAAAAAATCGCGTCCGGTGTGTCTGGACTTTAACTGTACGTTTAATAGAGAGTGACGATGTGAAGGATATTATGTACAACTACCTGAAAAATAATAACCAGAACTTCGACATTTCGAGCGAAGCTCCTTCATGGGGGAAGTTGTCTATACTAACTATCCTACGGAGGGCCGCCGCTAGAAACGTCGAAGTTTTGCTACTATTTTCAGGTAATTGTATATCCTTCACACCGCAGCAGTCTGCTATCGTCTCCGTCTGTTACCTGCGTTTGAGTTATTGTACATTTAATACTTTTTGTTTGTGGAAACACCACGTAAATTTATTACTGTAAAGCTTTCGATCCGTAAGCCCGGATCTTCATCAGTGCTAATAATAATAATTTGATGAAGATCCGGGCTTACGGATCGAAAGCTTTGCAGTAATAAATTTACGTGGTTTAAAAACATGAAAATGTTTGTATTTAACATAAAAATCTTCTTTTCCAGACATGCAATCCGAGAGTATAATATTCACAAGACATTAAACCACCATGTAAGTTGTGTTAAAATAAAGTAAAATGGATACAGTTCAGCTTGCGTTGTCATGGGTAAAAGTAGAGTAGAATTTTTAAAATGATGTTCATTGTTGTATTAGCATAGGGTTGAGAAAGGGGGTTGGGGATTCGGCGTAAGGTAAATTGCTGACATACTGTACATACATGTGCGCACAGTACACAGTACACACTACAGTACAGTACAGTATGTCAGCACTTCAAATTCTCCAAATATTCTTATCCTTTGAAGTCATCATGCATCTTTCCCGGTTGCTCAAAGGTGGATGAAACGCTTACCCTGGATTAAAATTTAACCTGCTGTTTTGGTTTGTGTATATCTGAGTGTTTGTTTATTTCAAGACTTTAAAAAATAAAACTTCTGTTGATTGCAGACAAGAGTTCTAGAAAATATTTCCATATTTAGAAACAAGCTGTTGGGAAGATCTTGTTTGAATATTTTGTTAACCTACGATTAAGCTGAACATCTTTTGAACAACCGACCTAAGAGTTGTTACTGAAATAAGTTATCTTGTATTTCTAGAGAATAGTTCGTTTATACGACGTCTTCGAAATCGATTCAAACTCGTAAGTTTGTAATTTCTGTGAGGGTCGTTTTGAAAACGGTTGAATGAGATTGAATGTCTTAACACAGTATGCATTTTTTAGATTTTGTACAGTGTTAGAATATTGTGATGGCAACGATTTAGATTTCTTACTCAAACAACATAAAACAATTTCCGAGAAAGAGGTAGTGTATAGTGTCTTTTACTCAAACGTGTTTGGGTTTGAACCGTTTTGTCTTCAAGGACACAACAATTGTTTTGCAAAGATGTGCTAATTCTTCTTTCTTGTTCAGGCGAGATCAATTATAATGCAGGTATGTGAATAAGGATGAGAAAAAAATAATGATTCAAAAATTACAATATTCAACAGACAATTAAAACTTGACAAGTTTTTGAGAAGGTATATCATTTCGTTTAGGTTGTCAGTGCACTCAAGTATTTAAATGAAAGAGAGCATCCCATAATCCACTATGATTTAAAACCTGGTAAGAAATAGTTCAAGGTTAGCGTCAGTCCGTGGTATTGCGGACCATTTTAAGGGCCGAGTATAGATCAATAGATCCAGAAAGGTTTTTTGTAATCCGTCGTATATTTAAACCACCCTTTGGGAATCCTTGCTTCTTTTATCTGATTCTTATTGGAAATGTACCAAGCAAGGCATTTTTATCGTTATTTGTTATCTTTGGGTAAGAAAAAGCAATAACAAATGCCCGCGATTCCATGGTGTGACACCAATCTTTTAAATGATTAAAGTATTGCTTAATATACCAACTTAGACACACGATCTCAACTGCCTGAATAAAGTTACGGACTACTGGAGTATATGTTCTGTATATACTGTGACCATGATTACTGAACTCGAAAAAAACAGGCCTGCATTAAAGGAATTTTAATATACAGCCTACATTAAGGATCTATGTTTGTTTTCGCCATGATAAGTTGAATAGCAGATATCAAGATTACGTGGACGAGATTGCACGCATCAAATGGATAATATATTCGCCTTGTAGACTAGGACCTGTATATGAGTTTGTATTCGTTTCATTTAGCACAGGTAATCTCAACTGTTTTAGGGTAAATTACCATGGCGGTCAACATGGTATATGTGTCAAAACCTGAATTCGGGACGAAAGTTCTGAAAATGACCCCGCCCTGAAACGGCAGTGTCGACATAGCTCTAACGTCCGAAAGGGACAGCCTTTCTGAAGTGCTTATAGTGTTTAGAAGGGTTGCCTTCATTGGAAGGAATGTATAATATTTTACAAGAAAATGACCATGCACTACCCCAGGTATTTGCTAATTATGCATAAAACAACTAATATGCCTGGCAGAAATTAAATTTTCTTATTTCCTAAAAAAAATTATCATGGGATGAAAAACTATGCTTAATTTAATATAATTATTGTTGATTTCATAAGGATTGTCATTGTTTTCTTTAAATATAATACTTTTTATTTCACTTATCCCCCACGATTCGGTTATATTTTGCCGTCTTGTTTGCTTTCTATCGCTGAGTTTCGTAAATATCATCCAGTTGTTGTACTTTTACATAATGATATAAATGGTTAAAGAAGATTTCAACCAAGTTTCATCAAGTTTGGAAACAGTGTCCTTCGATATTTCGTGAAATATGGCGCCATTGCAATGGCTCGCCGCTTCTCTGCCCGATAAGTGCCTCTTCATCGTCCTATGTATTTAGGTTACAGTATCCAAGAGTACTTCCTTGTAGAATAGTCCCAATCGAAAAATTGAAATCATTAGTTGCACTTGAAAGGAAAAACCTCCCATAACACTTGTTGTATCAGAATCCAAAAGAAGTAATATAAAAGTTACGCGCAAGTTCGCGAAAACGTTTCGTGGGCTACATGCATAGACGGATTTTGTGTGTGTGTGTGGGGGGG